CACTTTCCATACAATCAGACCGGCAGTTGCTGTTGCCATGGGGACGAGCGGTTGGGATTTTTTTATTTATTTATCTTTTTTATACTCCCGTGATTGTGTGAGCGCTCCGCTTTGGCTGAGCGATGATTCGGGGTTATTCATGTGTGCCGTTACGCAGCAATTACCGGCGTCAGGACGAGGCCGAGTCGCCGTCAGGCTCCTCGAACCGCCGCCGCCGTCGTCGTCGTCAGGAAACAAAGCTGGCCTTGTTGTCCCCGATCACAGGCCGCTATTGTTCCGGCCGGCCCGGTCAGATTCTGCCACTCTGGAGGTAGAAAACTCTGCTCGGGGTTTCAGAGAAGTGACGTGAAGCGTAACAGGCGTCAGGAATTTGAATGTTGCTGCCAGGCGTGACGCTGCCTGCCTGTGTGTGTGTGTGTGTGTGTGTGGTGCTTTTATTTTTGTTTTAATTTCTGCAGCTGAATAATAATTATTCCTTATTTGAGAACACCGGGTCTGAACAAGGCCCATCCATGCGTGAACGTCGGCGTGTTTCCTGGAAGCTGCTTCACTTCTGCTTCGGCAGAGACGCGACACGTTGAGACGCTTTATTCTTTATTTGCATTTTTAGCGAGGTCAAGAAGCAGCGGCAAGTGTTTCCAGCAGTGACTGGATTTACAATCAGGCTTCAGCTAATAAAACCCTCTCAACAAGTCATCGATTTAACTACTCTGATAATCGATTACTTGGTTTGCTCCTTAAACGTGAATATTTTCTGGTTTTGTTGCTCCTCTGTGACAGAAAACTGCCTCTACTTTGATAATCAATTCCATTGTTTTTAAGCAAAATTGCCAAATACGAGCTCCTTAAATATGAAAATACAAAAGTTTTCTGTATCATACATGAAAATTTAAATGTATGTTGGGTATTTATCACTATTTTCTGCTATTTCAGACTTGACCCTGTAATAAACTGATAGAATCGATGTCTCAAGCTGCAGCAATAAGTCGATTAATTGAAGAGCTGTTAGCCAAGAAATGATTTGGCTACTATTTTTATAATCAGTTAGTCAGGATTGAGTTATTTTTTCAGAAAAAAATAAGTCGAAATTCACTGATTTCAGCTCCTGAAATGTAAATATTCTCTCGTGTCTTTCTTAATGACAGTAAAATTCCTCCATCTTATTACATTTAAGGCAAAACTGCAAAGTATTTGCTTGTAGCTTTCTGAATTATCAGAGTTTAGTGGGTTTTTCTGTTGCACATGACAGTAACTTTGAATATCTGTGTATTTTTCACTATTTTCTACAATTAATCGATTAATCAATGTGCGCTATTAAATTAGTCACCAACTGTAGTTGGCTACTGAGTAGTTTTTAAGAAAAAAAAATCTGAATTGTCTGATTGCAGCTCCTTAAATGTGAATATTTTCTGGTTTTGTTGCTCCTCTCTGACTACACTGATAATCAATTTCTTTTTTTTTTTTTTTTTAAGCACAATTGCCAAATACGAGCTCCTTAAATTTGAAAATATAAAAGTTTTCTGTATCGTACATGAAAATTTAAATGCATGTTGGGTATTTATCACTGTTAAGTCTATTAATTGAATTATTTGGCAACTATTTTGTTTTTTTTAAAGAAAAGGCTTCAGTTCAATAAAATTCTCTCTTTGGTGTTTAAAGCTGAAGCTGCAGCTGCCACAAGTCATTGATGAACTATTTTGATAATTAATTTATCAATTTGAGTTGTTTTTTCAGGAAAAAGAAGTCTAGATTCACTGATCACAGCTCCTTAAATGTGAATATTCTCGTGACTTCCTCTAGTTTATTATATTTTGAGGCAAAATTGTAAAATATTTGCTTGTTTAAGCTTCTCTTAAGCTCTGTTTTTGAATATCTGTGTATTTTTCACTATTTTCTCCAATTAATCCAGTATTCAATGTCCGCTATTATATTAGTTGACAACTATTTAGACAATCGATTAATCAGTTTGAGTAGTTTTTAAGAACAAAAAGTCTAAATTGTCTGATTGCAGCTTCTTAAAAGTGAATATTTTCTGGTTTCTTTCCTCCTCGATGGCAGTAAACTGAACATCTTTGGAGCTGTTGTGGAAAAAACAAGGTCATTTCTATCATTTTGTGACATTTTTAGACCAAACAACTGATTGATTAATTGTGAAAATAATCAGTAGACTAATAGACACTGAAAATAATCAACTTTTTCTTTTCAGTCGTATTCATTTGGCTCAACTGGTTGTGAAAAGCTTGTCATCTTGCGTTTTAAAAATGTGTAATATTGCTGATATTTAAAGTAAAGCTGCAGAGATTTGTTGCTTAATTAATCGCCAGAAAATTTATCTGCAGCTATTTTCATAATCCAGTAATCGTTTTCAGAATTGTTTGCAGAAAAATCCCCAAAAAACTGCAGGTTCCAGTTTCTTAAACACCAGAATTCAGCGCTTTTGTTGCACATTAACTATATTTGCGTCACATTTCCACTATTTTCTGCAATTACAGACTTGATAATGGAAATAATTGTTCCAATTGTTGACTCGAGGTGAGTAAAAGCTAAAATCTTTGGTAGGTTACAAAAATCCTGGGGTGTTTTACTTAAAAAATGTACTTTTTGTGCCAAAAGTCAATATCTCGTTGGTGTCTGTTGGGTAGCTAGCGCTGCTAACCAACAGCTAGTTAGCTTAGCTTAGCACAAAGACTGAAAACGGAGAGAAACAGCTAGCTTAGCTCTGTTCAAATGTAACTAAATCTGACTGCCGGCACCTCTAAGGCTGAGTGATGATCGACCTGTGTGTCATTTCTCTTTAAAATCAGTTTGAAAAATAACATTTTGAGCAGTCCAACATCAAACAGATGGACGAAACATCTCATTCCTTTAAGAAAACTGCAAAACCACAACATACGAACACTCCTATTATTGGATAATCGTGTTTTTTTTAAGTTAAAATCTGAATTTGCAAAGTTCTTGGAAACTACAGTGATCAGAAAAATATAAAATTGTAATTAAATAAAGGAGTAAAGCAGCAAAAACGTGAAGGATGCTTCGTGTCCTGCTGGACTCGTTCAGCTTTAAGGTCTCTTTTAACCTCATTGTTAGAATCACCTGTATGAAAACAGCTGCATGGAACCAACACAGATGTCATATTTTAATCACTATTTCCTCCGTTACTCTTCTGCTGCTGTGGTTTAGTGGCACCGGCTGCTCCTAGCATTTAGCTTTAGCTGTATTTATGAGCATCTATTGACATTAACGCCATCGATTGACCACTTTGGACACATTTTGGAATGAACCAAAAAAAACCAGAGTAACTTGCAGGAGATAATTTGTTGGATTTGCAGCCAAAAAAGAAGCTAGTAGCACTGATTGAACGCTAATAGAGGCACAAAATGAAGAGAAAAAGACAATTAAACCCTTAATTGCAATGATTAGCACGGCAATTAATCATCTGAGCTAAAATTTAACGATCATGACCACCGTTCACAGTCCTCTAAAAGCCCTCCGGGGACGGCGGCTGCAAATGAACTGTTTACATCCTGTATCTGCCGCTATAAATAAATGGATTTAATTACAAAACTCCGAGTAATGGTCCTCCAAACCGTTCATTTTAATGTAGAGTTATGAGTTGAAGTAGCCCTAATTGGAAAATGAGAAAAACTTGATGATAAAACTGTCGTGTGTTATACTGATTGACTAAATAATTCATGAAATATTCATCATTACATGCTGTGTAGCTCTTTCCAGACACCTAAACTACATATAACCTTTGATAATGAGGCAAAGAAATCATAATTTTCAAGCAAAAATGCCCAAAATTCACTTATTTTAGGGTCTCAGCTTTAGGATGTTGCTACTTTTCTAGAAGCTTTTCAGGATTTTGACTGTTTAGTTTCACCGTCTCACAGATTTTCACAGATTCTACAGATAATAAATAACCTGCAGGTTCATTAATAATGCAAATCGTTGCTAGTCGCAGCACTAAAAATCAGCCGTACAAGCCAAAGCCCGGAGGAGCGTCTTCACACTCCGCAGCTTCCGTCTCCACTGCCAGCGTTGGATCACACACTTGAGTTTGGAGCCAGATGTTTGCACTTTAAAAAAAACAAAAAAACCCAATCTCCACATGGAAAACACCCAAAAGCTTCAGAAAACGATTCAGCTCACAGCCTCCGTCGTCTTCCCATCCTCACTGACCTCCATCTCCAGTCGGTCCATCCTCCAGTTTTATTCAACAGCCACTTTTATTCCACTATTTCATCTATTTTGGGGTTTTTTTTGCAGATAGGAGGCTTTTGTTACAGCCATTTCAATCACTTTTTCCATTTCTGCTCCTAAACCAGAGCCAGAAGCTGCACCGCCTCCTCAAACGCAGGTTTTCTTGCACAAATCCAGTAAGTTTTTTTTTCTTTTTTACAGCCCCAAGGACATGAAAAAAATAAAAAAAATTCAATATGCAGCCAAAAATAGTGATGCTCTTTTCTTTGTTACTTCCTGTGCAGCCTTGTGAAAAAAAAAAAAAAAAAAAAAAAAAAAAAAAAAATCCACTGCTCTGTTTCTGTTGAAATTCAGTTTCACTGGCGTTTGTTGCCCCAGTTCAAATTTACTGTCCTAATTTTGGACTTTATTGGAACAGAAGCTTTTTTTTTTTTTTTAATGGATGCATTCGTTGTTAATACATTCAGAAGGAACAGACTTGGTGCACACACAACAGGTAGGCTCCATAAATAGATTTAAACACCGGTATATTAAAGCACAGCTTCGCTTACACCCACACTTCTGCTCTCTGTACAGGCTGATCTGGGCTTTATTCTGCCCACAGTCCAACACTGACAGGGGGAGAAAAAAACCAAAACTCAATATAAAGCAGCTTTGGTGGTTTTTTAAAGCTCTGAGGTGCAGTTTCAAACACCAAAAATGATCTTTTTGATTAGTTTTTTATGTGGAAAAATGAATAAAAGCAGCTTCTACTGAGAGTAAATGAAGGATGAAGAGGATGAATAAAAGCTCGGTACCTGTCCGCTGCGGGCTGATCCAGTGTCTCAGAGCAGGAAGCTCCTCCGCTGCTTCATCACACTGATGCTGCCGCTGCTGCTGCCGCTGCTGCTGCTGAGGATGATGATGCTGCTGATGAGGATGATGATGATGATGATGAGGATGATGATGATGATGATGCGGGCTGTTGTGGGCGACAGGCGGAGGGACGCGCTCAGCTCCGGTGAAGTTAGTAGCAGGAAAAGTGTTGGGAGTCTGCGCAGTGAAGCTGGGCTGATGCTGCCTTCAGGGACCGTCAGGAAAAACGGGCTTCTGGTGCCAAATTTCTGGTTTTATTGTCAAGTGAAAACGACTCGTAAGACAGCATTTTATTTTCATATTTACTTCCTATGGATTGATTAGACAGACAACTTGTTAGAGTATATGATATTTTAGTGCCATAACATATTTATTAGTCTAATAATTATTAATATTGAATTCATGTTTAGATATAATCGGTAAATTCGTAATTAAAAATATATTTTAGAGTCTGAACTTTAACTAATAATTCTAATTAGTTAGTCTGGTCTTAACCTCAATTTATAGCCTCAATTAGTCATGTATTTTGCATAATTAATCACATTGTAGGGTCGTAATCTTAATTAGTAGTCTCATTTAATAATCTAATTTGCATAACTAGTAATATTGTAGGATCTTAACCTTAATTAATAGTCTCCATTAGGTATGTAATTTGCATAGTTAATCATATTGTAGGGTCTTAACCATAATTAACTGTATAATTAGTAATATAATTTGCATAATTAATGTTGTAGGTTCTTAACCTTTATTAATAGTCTCAATCAGGCACGTGATTTGTATAATTAATCATATTGTAGGGTCTTAATCTGAATTAAATGGTTAAATAAATCAACTATTTGGTCACAGTATGTAATGTTGTAGAGCCCTATCCTTAATATATTAATTAGTCAGGTAATTTTTCAGGGTATGCATTATTGTCGGGTCTTAATTTGTCAGTTAAATTTGTGTTTGACCTATTATTGTGGGGGTGTAACTTTAATCAATAATCTGAATTAATCAGCCAGTTTGTCTGATTATATAACATTGTAGAGTCTTAACTATAATAAATAAATTAAATTAGTTAGAAAATTTGCATACTTAATTATATTGTAGGGGGTTAACCTTAATTAATAATCTAAATGAATCAGATATCTTATTAGGGCATATATTGTTGTAGGGTCTTAATCCTAATTAATATTATAAATAGTTATAAAATTTGCATGCTTAATAATATTGTAGGATTGTAAGATTTTAATTTGTCAGGTAAATTTGTATTTTATGTATAATATAGTAGGGTCTTAACTCTAATTAACAATCTCAGCTAAAATCTGCCAGTCTTTAATTTGCCAGAGAATGTAATATTGTAGGGCCTTAACTCCATATTGAATTTAAACATCTAAGTTTGTATAATCTTTGATACTGTGGATTTGTAACCTTAATTTTTTTTTTTTTTTTTCAGGCTAATTTATATTTTATAGAGAATTTTGTATATAGTATTGTAGGGTCTTAATAATTACATTTTAATGTGGCAGGTAAATTTTATATGCCAAATAATATTTTAGGATTTTAATATGAGTTTTCATGTTGGTCAGGTAAATGTACATTGTAAATATATACTGGTGGGTGCTTACTAGTTCATTTTTTCAGACACATTTACATATAAATAATAATTTCGGGTCTTTATCTTATTGTTTAAATTAACTAGGATTATTCCAGGTGACCTTTATAACGACCTTAGACTATAGCTGTGGTGCATTTTGGTGTTACGGGACCAAATTACGCTCATTGAGAGAGTAAACTGTGCTTTTACAGCTGCTGAGCGATTCCTCGTTCTTTAATGAAATCTATCCCATAAGAAAACATGTACCAGCGTCAATTTCAACCATATATTGTATTTTGAACACGCATGTAGCGATTACAAAATATATGTTTGATCTAGAATTGATTTTAAACTTAATTTCTCCCTTAACGTTAGAATTTACGAGGCGCACTGAAGGTAACACATAACAAGCGGATGAGAAGAGTTGATTTTAAACTTGCTAATGTTAGCCGTCGTTTTTTATCGAATTTAACAGGTAAAATACTACATTTATCCCATAAAACGTGAACTAACAGGCACGGATATGCTGTCTGTTGTTATATCTTGTGTTTTAAGTGAAGTTTGTGAAACTTTGGTGGTATATTACCGACTCCTAAACGGCTACAAACCCTATATAGCAATAAACTAGCTTATTTTGTGTTTCAGCTAGCACAGGGAGCTCTCGCTGCACAGATAATTGACTTTTTTTTAACTGTTTGATGAAACTAAAGAACACAGTGGTAGTGAAAATAGTAATGTGAGCTGTGTCTCCCTCTAGTGTGCAAAAACACATGAATTAATGTCTCCTAATTAATGACAATGTTGTGTGGTCATTGGATGATATGTTTAACTTGAATATTGTCATTTTCAATACCTTTTTGAAAAACTTTCTAAATTTTGCTTTTTTATAGTTGGTAAAACAGAACAGTTTTATATTTGAGGAGTTTCTAGAACTCATTCAGGCCATTTTGATCTGAATTGAAAGTTGTTAAAAGTTTATTTTGGTGAACAACGTTTATTCTATTACAGTAAATTAAATAAAACAGAATTAAAAAAAAAAAAAAAACAGTCTGGTTGAACTGTAAATCAGCTTCAGACACAGTTTTTGCATATAATAGTATTTATTTATTGTGTATAACTTTGCAAACACGTTGAGTTAAAGCCTATCAGAATACAAACAGGAGCAGTAATGAAATAAAACTCCATTAAAAGCTATTTACACAGCCAGTTCAATATTCCCACTTTGTACAGAGATATTGAAGGAAAACATACTCTTGACAGGTTTCTATAGTAGCAAATTAGGTTCTAAGTAGCAAACTATTAATAAAAAATATAGTTCCAGCAGTACACTTGCTGTGTTTGATCACGAGCGTTTCGTTTTTAGCTTAGCATTGCTAGTGTCTCTTTACATTTTAGCTACAGCAACAACAACATCTTGGTGATACATGTTTATTTTACCGTCTCATACTGCATTTCTGTATTGTAGATATTCTCTACCATCAGCTTAATAGTGAAATTACTGTAAACATTTTTTTTTTGGAATGTCAGTAACATTGATTGAGTTTTGCAAACAGTCCGATTTTTCAATGCACTGGTGATTATCTTCGTGTAAAGTAGGAGCGCAAGTATCAATCTGCAATCATTAATGTGCATCAAAAGTTAGGAGATAAGTTTTGGGAAGCAAAACCCAAAAGTTTTGTACCATAAGCAAGGTTATTTGGTGTCATAAATTGCAGTAAGGGCACTCATTTACACAGCTTATTAACAACTTGATCACATTGTCGATGTAAATTATATTAATTAGTTTCCTTATAGGTCAAGAATGTGCAACCGGACATCACCGTCATCATTTAACACCTGAAGACTGACAAGTTATTTCCACGTATTGGTAAGTAATGACCATTTCTACTTGTTTTTCTCACTCGTTTTCTTGTCACATGAAATTCAGAGCTACTAAATCGGGCAATGAGGACTTTAATCTTTACACAAAAGTGACATCAGGTGACTTTACTTCTCAGTTCCATCGAAGAACCTCATTTTCTCAGAGTGCACCGAGTCTCTCAGCCGTTGTATAGAAGAAGCTGTCTCACCCGAGATGGGCTCAGAAGAGTCGAACACATGCGTAATCTGTTTGGTTATGACTATTGTTTCTTTGCTCTCACTTCTTTCACCTGATGTTTCCCTGAACAAGTGCCTCCCCAACACCGTCCTATTGCCGCTTTGCGAGTCTTCGACGGTCCGCGACGCAGATTCGTGAGCCTCTGACGTCGAAGAAAGACCTCTGGCGGATTCAGTGTGGATGGCACTCAGTAGCTTGGCCTGCTGTGCTTCCGGAGTTCCCTGTATGTTTGATGTAATCACATGTATTTTTCCAGAATCCAGTCTGAGCGTGTCTTCTGATGAAGACGAAACTCCAGATGACCGGATGGTGATTTTCTCAGGCAAGTTGGGCTCGACTGAGATCAGCTCAGTTCTCGCGGTGGAAGTGATGATGTTGCTGTGAATCTCTCCAAACCCGGTGGAGATATTCGGACCAGAGTATTTGACAGTTACCTTGGTTGGAGAAGATAAGGACGGGCCAAGATTCTCACTTGTGAGTGCAGAGCTAACGTCAGCAAAGGCGTCGGATGACTGGACGGAAGAGGTGGGGCTTATTTCTTCATCCCCAGTTTCCCCTTCTGGGCTCTTTCCATCGCCTTTTTGAGAAATTTTGGGCTGTTCTGATGGGGAGGACAGGCCGAACCTTGGGAATTTAAACCAACCCGTCCTCTCTGGACTTTTGATCGTATCTGGCTTGGTATTTGTTTCTTTTTCCGTCGCCTCTAATTGTTTTTCAGTGAGTTTTGCAGCTTCATGAACTTCCAGATTTTCTCCAGGTTTTGACACATCAAATTCAACGTCAATGTTCTTGAGAATCTCACCAAATGATGTCAAACTCAACTTTGGTGATCTGCTGTCTCCTTTTGGCTCATCCTCCATTTTCGGTTCATCCTCTTTGAATTCCGTATCAACAGGGACGTATTCGTCTTCAGGTTTTGGTTTTGAGAAACTTAACCTTGGCATTTTAAAGGACGGTAGTTTGAATTTAGTTGGAGATCCAAGAACCACAACATCAGTCTCAGTCTTTGGTGTTTCAGAATCTGTTGCCGCTGCTTTGGGAACATCAGTTTTAACATCAATACCGGGACTTCGGAGAGTGAAAGTTTCATCAATGTCAGCTGCTTTTTCTGCATTGGCTGCTTCTTTGGCAACATCATAACTTGCACCGCCAAATTTCATTTTCAGTGTTGGCATTTTAAATTTTATAGGTGATCCTACAACATCTTTTGACTTAGCTTCAGCCTCAGAACCTTTCATGTCCACACTAGCTACCACTGCTTTTACTTCGGGCAGTGTGACGTCAACTTCAGGTCCTTTTGCTTTTGGTTGTCCAATGCCTAACTTTGGCAATTTAAATGTGCTTCCTTGTCCACTGTGTCCGGCTTCAAGCTCTGGAGCTTCAATTTCCATTTCAGGGTATTTGACTTTTACTTCTCCCTCGGTAATACATACATCAACTTGTGGAAGCTCCGCACTCAGTTCAGGTTCTTTACCACTTGACTTTGAAAAAGAAAACTTGGGCAATGAAAATTTAGTTTTTTTCAAGTTTGTATCAAGTTCTACAGCAGGGGGTTGTTCTATTGAAATAGCCCCTGAAGGTCCTTTGACTTCCGCCTCTGGTAGACAGATTTCTGTTTTGGCCTCTGGTGATGTAATATCACCTTTTGGTGTTTCAAAGTTGACATCAACATCAGGGGCTTTACCACCTGTCCGTGAAAACGAAAACTTTGGAAATGCCCAGCCTGATCCCTTCAACTTGGCGTCAACCTCAGCTGTGGGTACATCCGGTCCTGAAACTGCACCCTCCACTTCTTTGACTTTAACAGCAGGGAGTTTGACTTCAGCTTTGGCCTCTGGTAATGTCGGATCCACATCTTTCTTTGCAAGTCCTAAATTCGTTTCAGGTCCTTTTACTTGGGGCACTGAGATTCCCAAATTTGGCATTTTGAACTTGCTTCCAGATACCTGAAGTTCACCTCCTTCAGCGTCAATGCTGGTTTCTGTGTCAATTTTAATGTCTTTGTCTACATCAGGTGCTTCTGCACTGACCACTGGTGTAGCAGCTCCAAATTTGGGTAATTTAAATGTTGGCATTTTAAACCTTGATGGGGATCCTTCAATATTACTTGCATGAAGATCAGTTCCAGGAGCTTTGACTTCCACTTCAGCAGAAGGTTTTTTCAGTTCAACTTCAGGGAGTTTGACTTCAGCTTTGGCCTCTGGCAGTGTCACATCTACATC